AGTTCATCATATACTTGTATTCCAGATGTTAGGATAAATGCCTGTATTGAATATTAAATTATACAATTTATGGAGTGGTTTAATTAGATGGTTTTTACTGTTTTTTATAAGTTCTGCACAGAACCCATCATATCCAGCTGATTTTTTTGATTTAAGTTTGTTAATTGCTATTTTAATTTCTTTTTCAGTTATTTCAGCATTCAAGCAATTATTTGATTGTTGCATATTTTCAACTATTCCTGTTTTAGTCACAATGTTTTTCTGAAAGTCTGTTAAATCATCTTTAGTATTCAATTGTTTATAGTATTCAATCCATTTATCAGGTGAAATTGGGTTTTCTTGATTTCTGTCTGAATTCTTTAACTTGCTTATAATTTGCCAAAATTGTTTAGGGTTAGTTTTGTTTAACTGTGTTAGCTTATTTATATGAACTTATGTGTGATGTATGTGGAGAATTTAGACTTGATTGGTTCAGGCATGTTGAATATGTAGATTAGAAACTGCATTGTTTAAAACAAAATGACCACCAGTTGGCCATTTTAAACCCAATCTGAAATGATGTTGATCATGTGCATCAGCTCCCATTATGTAGAAAGTTTGAACAGAATCCATTTATGCAAGACTGAGATCCAGTTTCCGGAATAGTGAAAATGTGTGATTTTGATGCATTTTAGGCCTTAAAATTGATGTACTGAGTTGAAACCAAATCAGTCCGAACATGACTGAGATTGCATAATAGTGAAAATGTGTGATTCTGATGTATTTTTGGCATTGGAACTGACATTTGACAATCTTGAATCGGATCATGAAGTAAATATATGTGCATATGTTTGATATGTCTGATGTGTCTGTGAAATTTAAAACTGATTGGCTGGCCCAAGCATGTGTGAGACATACACTGTATGGAGATCAATCAGGGACTAAAAATATTTCTTTGTAAGAATTTAGAACAAGGACAGAAATTACTCACTTTCGTCAGCACGATGAGAACACTTTCCCCTTTTTTCCAAATCATGGATGTTACATTATTTTCTGTCTCCTAACTTTAGAGAGCATAATAACTATAAATAGCGACTCACCCATACTTTTCCTTGACCGACTATGAATTGTCTCTCTGATTCATTGGCTATTTCATGCTTATATCGTGCAATCTCTAATTCTTTAGCTAAAACTCGATGTTCCCGTCGATCAATTTCTAGCATTTTTTCACCAACAGAGTCAAAGTCAGCTGCATGTTCTCTGTTAGTCTCTGTCACTAGATCAAAGAATTTCTTCTTGCTTCTTAGGCTGGCATAGGCCACTTTAAATGCTTTGCCAATAATAACATTAATTTCTTCTGCCTTTATAAAAATAAAATAAAGAAACAATGGATTAAAACATTGAGAATCCAAAAATAAGAAACTTTTTCAAACTGTTGTGTTCAATCAATAGATTTTTTTTCTGATATTATATAGTTATGAAATTAGTTAATTAGTTAAATAAAATGGTTATTCTGACTTGACATATTACAAGCACTGTATTAATATGTATTAAAACAAATATATAGTATATGTTATGAAGACAGTAGGCCAAAAGTTTATTCAATTCATGGAGATATGGCTGTGACACGTGTTTAAAAGTCAATAACATCAAGCTGCTGAGGTGAGTATGTACAATTATAGTCAATCCATAACAAGCAGAAAAATGACAGAATAAACCCTTCTAACACTTTTGCCATTAGATTTTGGCTTTCACTTATTTTATCATAAACACTGACCACAATTAATTCTTTAAAGTAAATTACAAAATCCCTGTTGGGAACTGAGAAAACGTAAATAATTATTATAAAGTACACCCATTTGTCAATCATAAATAGCAGTCACTGAATGTATGGGTGCAACAACAATTTTCTGATTTCTTTTTCATGTATTCATAGCTGGGCTTGTTACATAATGACAGCGTTTAAAGTTAGAATGACACCAAGATTGTGACAGTCAATGTTATCTGAGGTTCATTGAAATGTTATTATAGGTCAATATAAGTGATCTTGTAATGATATACTGACACTGCTGAAATCTGGGACATTCCACTATAGATGTATAAGTAGATTCATTCAGTCTGTAATTTGTTTGAGGAATGGTGTTTTAGCAAAATTGTCTGTAATGAAGTCCCCTTTTTCAGTCCAATGGTATGAAACTCCTTACAAGAACGTTTCTTATAAGAAATTCATGTTTCTTATAATTTTCTTACAATTTGTAGGTCATTTACATTCACAATTCTTATAATAATACATAGTTGCACATGAGCAAAAACTTTATTTTAAAGAATTAGTCATGGTCAGTGTTGATGGACTAAAGACTGATGATTTAATTTGCATTAAAAGTCACAACAAGTCATTGAAAATGACACAGTCCCCGTTAAATTTTTGAAAGTTCTCTTTGAGCTCGTCATATTAAAGCAGAGGGGGTTGTCGCGAGCGTGTCCTTGAAACTTGAGTTCCAAGTGGTGTACACAACAGATTGTTTATTTACGTCAAAACATGTGTTCCGTGTAGTAGTAATATGGCCACACAAAAAAACAGCCGTTATTCGGCCATCTTTGATCTGATTATGAAACACACTGATATGTATGATGTATGTGCCAAATACGAATGAAAACGGTACATAAATTGTGGAAGTAGTAAGGCCAAAAGGTCAGATGGCTATCAATCGGCCATCCTTGACCAGATTTTGAAACAAATTGTCATGGACATGCATCCTAACATGTATAAAGTACATGTATGTGCCAAATTTGAATAAAAACTGACAGAGCACGTCCAAGATACCGCATAAAAAAACAACAACAAGATGCCTACCAGTCAACCATCTTTGATCCAATTGCAAAATAAATCGTCATGGACATGTATCCTAACATGTATAATCTATGTACCAAGTTTGAATGACAACTGACAAAGCATGTCCAAAATACAACATTTTCAAAAAACAAGATGGCTGCCAGTCGGCCATTTTGAATCAAATCGCTAAACCACTACATGTGCATATGTACCACCATAAGGTACTAGGCACATGCAAAGAATGAACGGAATCGGTCCACAGGATTCTGAAATATGACTCTCGACAGACTGACGGACGGACACACGGACGGACGGACACATGGACGGACGGACAGACTCAGGAACTCATGGACAGTCGGGGACATGTATCCTAACATGTATGATCTATGTACTAAATTTGAATGAAAACTGACAAAGCATGTCCAAATACAACATTTTCAAAAACAAGATGGCTGCCAGTCGCCATCTTTGATCCAATTGTGAAATAAATCGTCAT